AATTGGCCCCAGGAAAATTTGGTACCAGAGGCCTAATAAGCATGGAAAGAATAGGGAGAGGTTCCATTGTTGTTGTTGTTGTCTTCAAATTATTTCTGACTTATGGAAACCCTAAGATGACCCTATCATGCAGTTTTCTTGGCAAGATTGGTTCAGAGGAGGTTTGCCATTAATGGCTACCACTATACCTACTCAGTTATTAAATTAATGTTTGATTAAATATGAATTAATGTATATCCATTGTCTCTCATAAGATCTTTTTAAAGTGTGAACATTCTAAAAGAATAGTAAGCAATGAAGCAATTAAAAAAGTTAAAATGGTAGAAACCCATGTTATGTGACCAGACCGGGATGAAATCCTTAAGCTCAAAAGGCTTTAATAAAAAATTAAGTCTTAACGTGGTGCCAGAATGAAACCAGTATTGGAGCCAATCAGGCCTCCAAGGGGAGGGCATTCCACAACTGGGGTGCCACCAACTGATGGTTGAATTGTTTATCCTGGTGATGGGAGACCATTCTCCACCATCCCTGAAGCCAGCCAGGTTGGCTTAGGGGATGCAAGGGCACACACCTCCGGCCTTATGCCTTATGACAGAATTGGCTTGGAAAGTGAAAAGATTTGTTCAAGAGTACAGTGGGCTGTCTGTACATCTGGCACATGGAAGAGGCTTGGTTGTTCTTTCAGGCCTAGAATCATAACATTGGAAGGGACCACAAGGGCTGTCTAGTCCAACTCCATGCCATGTAGTAAGACACAACTATAGCATTCCCCAAAAATGGCTATCCAATTTCTGTTTAAAAACTGGCAGTGAAGAAGAGTCCATCACTATCTGAAGCAGTCCATTCCATTCCATTGTCAAGAGTTCTTAAAGTCAATATTTCCCCCCCCCCCATCAAAGTTTAGGTAGAATCTCTTTTCTTGTAATTTGAATCCAGTGGTTTCTGTCCTAGTCTCTGGAGCAGCAGAAAACAAGCTTGCTCTGTCTTCTAAAATTATAGAATCGAGTTGGAAGAGACCCCAAGGGCCATCCAGTTCAACTCCCTTGTGCCCAGCAGAAAGACACATCATCAGCATCCCCAACAGATGGCCAACCAACCTCTGTCAAAATCTATATGATTTCCCTTCAGGTGTTTAAATATGGGTATCATATCACCTTTCCATCTTTTCTTTTTCAAGCTAAACAGTTCAAAAGGATGTTGACAAGTTGGAATGCATAGAGATGATCAGAAGTCTAGAAATCAAGTCCTGTGAGGAACGACTTTTGCTTCCTAAGTTGTTCCTCACAGAGCTTGGTTTCTAGACTTTTAGGGCCTTTGCAGACTGCCAGAAATATTGCACATTAAATTGAGGCACTGCCGTGGCTCAGTGTTTGGGAATCATGGGAACTGTAATTTATTGTGGCACCAGAGCTCTCTGACAGAGAAGGCTCAATGTCCCAGAAAAAAATACAGTTCCCATGACTCTCTAGCACTGAGCCAGGGCAGTGCCTCAATTTAATGTGCACTATTTCTGGCAGTCTGCAAAGGCCCTTTGTCATCATTTCTGCCCTCATCTGAATACATTCCAACTTGTCAACATCCTTCTTGAATTGTGGTGCCCACAGCTGGACATAGGATTCCAGGGTAGATATGACCAAAGACGAATAGAGAGGCACTACGACACCCCTCAGTCTTGATGCTATATTTTTGTTGATGGTACCTAGAATTGCACTGGCTATTTTGGCTGCTCCATCACATTATTTACTCATATTTAACTTGTGGTCTGCTAAGATTTCTACTAAGATAAGAGATATTGTGGTGTAGTGGTTTGAGTGTTGGACCACAAAACTGCAGGGAGTAGAATCACAGTATCTATCATAGAGTTGGAAGAGACCTCTAGGGCCATCAGTCCAACCACTTGCTATGCAGAAACTCACAATCAAAGCACCCCCAACAGATGGCCATCCAGCCTCTTTTTAAGAACTTCCAAAGAAGATTCCACCACCCTTTGCAGGAGTGTGTTCTACTATCAAACAGCTCTTACTGTCAAGAAGTTCCTTACTGTCAAGAAACATGTTGAGATGGAATCAGTCCCTCCAATGTTGAGGTGGAGTATCATAGTGCTCTAATTATACAGTGTGAAAGAGATGTCAACGAAAGCTTACAGAACAGATAGGAAACCTGTGGACCACAACAAACCATGTTTCCCATTATCCCTCATCCTGCTCCTGGTTGGCTGTGGCTGATGGGAACTGGTGTTCAATAGTATCTGAAAAGTTGTACAATCCCCTTCTTGTATTTTATCGTCAATTATAACCTAATACATTTATGATAGTGTAAACTGAGGGCAAGCAAGTATAGTATAGTGGTTTGAGTGTTGGACTAGGGACACTGAGAGACCAGGGTTTGAATTCAGCCCTGGAAACCCACTGGATGACCTTGGGCAAGTCACACTCTTTCAGTCTTAGAGGAAGGCAATGGCAACCTGATTCTCCCTGTGATAGGTTTACTGTAGGGTCTTCATAAGTTAGAAGCAACTTGAAGACACACAACAATAATAAAACCCCAAAGTCCCTTTTGCTGCATTGCTTTCAAGCCAGGTGTCACCCATCTTATAGATGAACATTTTGTTTTTCCTGTCTAGATGTAGCAACTTACATTTATCCCTGTGGAAATTAATTTTGTTTGTTTTGGCCCAGTTCTCCAAGTCTGTTAGGTCAGTGACTCCAACATGGCCAGAATCCAGAGTGTCCAGTGCAGTTCTGTGGGTTTTTTCTTCCCACAAGCCCTGCCCTTGGCAAGAGAGGATGTTCCAGTGTCACCTCTGAGGAAAAGCTGTTGACGGAAGGTGGTGCATGCGAATGCAGAAAGGAGTGATTAATTATTGAATAACCTGCAACCAAGGGATAAAAAGAGCTGTATAAATGCATATGATTATTGCATAATTAGTGCCATACATTCTCACACGCCCTAACTCACTCATACAACCCCACCACCACACACTCACACACACTCACATGCCATGCCATACACACACACACACACAGAGGAATACGGTATTCTGTGTCTCTGGATAATTTCTCCATCTTTCTCCTTTGCCTTCATGTAATAAACTCCTTCCATCCCTCACATCTTATCTATATTTGTAAATGCTATCCATTTGTCACTTTGCTCCTGCTCTCTGTCATCTTCATATTCTCCCCTCCTCTTCCTGCATTTATAACCTCGCGTAGCAATTTTTCTTTTTAAAAAGCAAAGAATGTCTATTGACCTAAGCCAGGGCTGAAGATCCCTTAGTGTTCAGGAGAGTCTCAGTGGCAAAGGGCTCATTGGAAACCCCTGCCGCTTCCTGGTGCATGATGGAAAATGAGATATTGGCAGTGCCAAAGGGGGCTCTTTAGTCCTTTCTTTCCAGCATAAATAGAAATGGGAGTTGTGATGGAGCCAGAGGGCTATTTAGTTTCCTCTCCTGGATAGTGAACAGCAAGGGAGGTTCTGGCAGTGGTCAAGGACTCCTTAATTCCCTCTCTCTGCAATTTAAGCCACAAGAGATGTTTTGGCCCAGTAAAAAGGCACTTTAGCCCCTTCTCTGGATGGTGCCCAGCATCGATAGCATCATAATTTCAAAGTCAAGGGAAGTAATGTTGTTAAAATCGTAGAGCTGGAAGAGATCTCAAGGGCCATCCAGTTCATCCTCATTCTGCCATGCAGAAAGAGACCATCAAAGCACTCCCTGTGACAGATGGCTTAAACAGCTTCTGTCTAAAAACCTCCAAAGAAGGAGGCTCCACAACCCTTCAGTGCAGTGTCTTCCACTACACTGTGTTGGCTCCAAAGGAAGTCATAGTCCCATTATATTCTGTGCTGGTTAGACCTCATCAGAAGTCCTGAGTTCAGTTCTAGGCACCTTGTTTTAAGAAGGATATAGGCAAGATGGAGCAACTTCAGAGAAGGGCAAGAAGGATGATGGGAGCTATGGAGAACAAAACCTATGAGGAAAGGTTGAGGGAGTTGGGCATGTTTAGCTTGGTGAAGAGAAGACGGAGGGGTGACAGGATGGCCCTCTTGAAATAGCTCATAGGTTGTCCCAGAGAGGAGGGAAAACCTGTTCTCTGCAGCCCCTGAGGATGCTCTCTCTAGAGTCCCTGTACTGAGTGCGAGGTTGGACTCCATAGCTTAGAGGGACCCTTCCAGCTTTTATGATTCTATGACTTTACAATAGACTAGGTTTTGGAAGTGCCAGAGAACTGTGTAATATCCCTCTCCTGCACCATCAACAGTGAAGGAGGCTTTGGTAGCACCAAAGGGTTTAGTAATCCTTCATCTTCTTAAATCAGGGGTAGGCAACCTTTTTGAGCCGGGGGCTGGGTTGCTGTCCCTCAGACAATTGGGGGGGGCCGAAGCACCAAAAATAAATAAATAAATAATTGTTTTTTAAAATTAAAAAAATATGCATGCACACTCTCTCAGCCCCAGAAAAGCCATGGCAAAACCCCTGTGGAGATTTTGCCAAGAAAACCCCAAGAACAAGCAATAACAACAATAATCAATATCATCATGGGGGGTGGCGGCAGTGGGGGGGTGGCGGGGGCGGCGGCAGGACCGGCCTGGGGCCAGTCCAAAGGCCTCGGGGGGCCGCATCCAGCCCCCCGGGCCTTAGGTTGCCTACCCCTGTCTTAAATAGTAATGGCAAGAGGGGGTTGGCAGTGCCAAAGGGCCCTCTCCCACTGGTTGCATCAACAGGGAGGGAGGATTTACTAGTGCCAAAGGGTTCATCAGTACCAAAGGGCCCTTCTCCACTGGTAAATGTATTGGAAAGGAGGCTTGGGGAGTGCCAAAGAGCTCTGAAGTTCCTTCTCTGGACAGTGTCCAGTAAGAGAATGCTTTGGTCAAGCCAAAGGGCTCCTTAACTTACCTCCCATGAAGTATCAATTGGAAAGGAGGTGTTGGCAGTGCCAAAGGGCTCTTTAATGCTGTCTCTTTTGCAACCTGAGTTGTCAAGGAGGCTTGCTATAATTGGAGCCAATGTGGCATGATGGTTTGAGTGTTGGACTACAACTTTAGAGACCAGGGTTCAATTCCCAGCTCCGCCATGAAACCCAGTGGGTGACCTTGGGCAAGTCACACTCTCTCAGCCTCCAGGAAAGGTCATGGCAAACCTCTGAACAAATCTTGCCAAGAAAATCCCATGATAGGTTCACTTTAGGGTTGCCAAAAGTCATAAAGGACTTGAAGGCACACGACTCAATACATTTGCAATAATTCCTCTGTTTATCTCAGCTGCTGGCTCTTCTATACAAACCAAGAGGCAGGGAAAAGATGTGAGCAGCTATGACTTCTGGGCCAGAAGAAACTTGTGAAAGTGACTCAGTACATACTTCAGAAAGGAAGGCTATCCTGCTCCTCACCCACTGGCCAGAGAAAGAGCATAACTTGGTTTGCCATGCCAGAAGAAACATCTGTAAGAGCATTATTACTGAGAACTAATAGCTTGGGTTTGGGTCTTTCGTCTTTCCTCCTAAACCTCATTTCTTTTATGTCATATTTTTTAGATTGTAAAAATATGAACTGTCTTAATAATTTTTATAAAGAACCTTCCTTTTTTTCTGAGCTGAACAGCAGGGTAAGAATATTCTATTGTTATGTACCTTCAAGTCGTTTCTGACTTATGGCAACCCTAAGGCAAACCTATCATGGGATTTTCTTGGAAAGATTTGTTCAGAGGAGGTTTGCCTTCCTGTGAGGCTGAGAGAGTGTGACTTGCCCTAGGTCACCCAGTGGGTTTCATGGCCAAGCTGGGAATCAAACCCTGGTCTCTAGAGATGTAGTCCAGCACTGAAACCACTATGCCACACTGGCTCTCCCTTAAAGAATGTTAAATAAATAAATATTCCAAGTATTTATTTATTATTTTTATAAAGTTTTCCCACACCACCCAGCTCTGAAAAACCTAAAAATAACAGCAAAATATATATATATATATATTTGACCCACAGGCTCACAAAAATGAGCAGAGACCAGGTAGCAACAGAAAACCACAACTCAGTAGTAATAAAACAGTTTATATATGGAGATTTGAGTAAAATAGAAAAGTTAAAAGAATTTCCTGAAAAAGGGGGGGGGGGAAATCACCAACTTTTGGAAAGTCCTCAGCCTTAAGGGTTATTGTGAACTCAATGAGACCTGAAATTTTGAAATGTCGAACACTTCTGTCATTATGCATTTCCAAAGCCAGGTTAAAAACTATTCTTTTCCTGAGGTTTGTGATGTGTTTTATCTCAGTTTAAACTTGTTGGCTTTGCTTTGGTTGTTTGCAGTTTTTTTGTAAACCGTTTTGGAAGTTTGTCATTTAAAGTGAGTAAATAATATTTTTGAAAAGTGGCCTAAATATTGAGTAGCAATGCTCGGGAGTAGCAGTGCTTGGAAAAGTGGCTTAAATTAGTAAATGCTTATGATGATGAAGAAACATGATAAGAAATATGAAAACTTGGTGTAGAATTATTTGATTAAAACATGGTAGCATTGATAATAATATGAATTACCACTTTGCAATGGCTTCAAGATTTTTTTTTGAGCTGGGTGCTTTTAGGTTGACACTACTTTAACTACCCTGGGTCTGTACTATGGAATCCTGGGAATTGTAGTTCGTTGTGGCACCAGAGCTCTCTGGCAGCAGTCCAAAACACAGTGCAGAAATAATCCAGTTTGAGGCCATTTTAACTCCCCTGGCTCAATGCTAGGGAATTCTGGGAACTGTAGTTTTGTGAGACATTTAGCCTTCTCTGTCAAAGAGCTCTGGAGTCACAACAAACTACAGTTCCCAGGATTCCCTAGCACTGAGCTGGGACGGTTAAAGCATCCTCAAACTGGATTATTTCTCCAGTGTGTTTTGGCCCAGAGAAGGCTAAATATCTTACAAAACTACAATTCCCAGGGTTCCGTAGTATTGAGCCGTGGTGGTTAAAGTGGTGTCAACCTGGATTATTTCTACAGTGGGGATGCAGCTTTGGAGGGGGAAATCCAATTAAAGAAAAGAAGGGGGGGAATGAAGACCACCCTTTTCCAAATGCATCCAAAAACATTTGAATGGGAGGGGATTTATACAAATAAACTTGGGAAGATAATGGGATTCTTGGATACAGTTGAAGAAAAGGGAGAGAGGGGGAAAAAGGATTAATTCTTTCCAACTGCATCTGCATTTTTTTTTCTGGAGGAAGGGTGACCATGAATCCCTGGATGCGATCACAGAGAGAGAATAACTTCTTCCCAACCGGAGCAGTTTTATTCTTTATAGAAGGGAGGCTTTTATACAAGTAAACTGGGGGAGGAATCATGAGATTCTTGAATAAAGTGGAAGAAAGAGAGAGAAGGGAAAGAGAGAAAGAATTACCTCTTTCTCAGATGCATCTATATTTTGGGGAGTGGGTGGTTGAACCCCTATATTTACTTTTATATATTTACATACTTGTAAATATTCACATCAGAGCCAGTGTGGCATAGTGGTTTGAATGTTGGGCTGCGACTCTGGAGACCAGGGTTCAAAAACCACCTTCACTGTGAAACCTTGGGCAAACCACACTCTCTCAGCCTCAGTGGATGGCACTGACAACCCCCTCCCCTTTTAATGAATCTGGCCAAGAAAACCTCATGATAGGTTTGCTTTAGGGTCACTACTGGGTGGTGGCCTTGGGTGAGTCGCACTCTCTCAACCTCAGGGGAAGGCTATGGCAAACCTCCTCTGAACAAATCCTACCAAGAAGGCCCCATGATAGGTTATATCCACTGTGTACATGTGTTGTGTGCCTTCAAGTCATTTCCAATGTTTGGTGACCCTGAGGCGAAACTATCATGAGGTTGTCTTGGCAAAATTTGTTCAGAGGTTTGCCAAAAAACTCCATAATAGGGTTGTCACTGGGTGACCTTGGGTGTGTCACACTCTCTCAGCCTAAGCAGAAAGCAAGGGCAAACCCCCCTCTGAATGAATTTTGCTAAGAAAACCCCATGAAAGGTTTGCTTTAGGGTCACCACTGGGTGACCTTGGGCGAGTCACACTCTCTCAGCCTAAGCGGAAAGCAAGGGCAAGCCCCCTCAATGAATTTTGCTAAGACAACCCCATGATGGGCTTACTTTAGGGTCGCCACTGGATGACCTTGAGTGAGTCACACACTCTCAGCCTCAGGGGAAAGCAAGGGCAAGCCCCCTCTGAATGAATTTTGCCAAGAAAACCCCATGATAAGTTTGCTTTAGGGCAGGAGTAGGCAACCTTTTTGAGCCGGGGGCCGGGCTTATGCCCCTCAGACAATTGGGGGGGGCGAAGCACCAAAAATAAATAAATAAATAAATAAATATTTTTTAAAAAATATGCATGCACACTCTCTCAGCCCCAGAAAAGCCATGGCAAAACCCCTGTGGAGATTTTGCCAAGAAAACCCCAAGAACAAGTAATAACAACAACAATCAATATCATCAAGGTGGGCGGCGGCGGCGGCGGCGGCAGGATCGGCTTGGGGCCGGTCCAAAGGCCTCGGTGGGCCGCATCCGGACCCCGGGCCTTAGGTTGCCTACCCTTGCTTTAGGGCTACCACTGGGTGACCTTGGGCGAGTCACACTCTCTCAGCCTCAGGGGAAAGCAAGGGCAAGCCCCCCCTCCTCTGAAGAAACCTGTCCAGAAAACCCCATGATAGGGGGTCGCTATCAGTCAGAAACAATAGCAAAGTGTTTATATTATTTAATATACATATTTATCAACAGGGTTTTAAAAGGAAGCCCAATGAGAAAAAAGAAACAAAAGAAAACAACAACAACAAACGACTGCAAGAAGGAGAATCCCTTCTTTTTCCAAAGCCAGCAACGATTTCAGAGGAGCATCCCTATAAAAGAAATAATCTTAGGGAAATAAAAGGGAGGGGGATTTGCAAAGAAAAACCATGCAATTCTCGACTGCAGTAATAGAAGGGAAAGGGCTAGAGAATATTGCCCTTGTTCAGCTCCTGGATGCTTTCTGGGGGGAAGGAAAAGTCCCTTTGGAAAGAGGTTTGTCCCCATTGCATGCCCCTTTCCTTCCTCCCCAAGCCCCCCTTTCCCTCCTCTTTCTCTCTCTCTCTGCCTCCTCAATAATGGATCTGGAAAGAGAGGGAGAAAGCCCCGCCCACTGGGGAAGGAGGCGGGGCTAAACACAACCTGCCAATCACCCTGGTGGAGGGGGTGGAGCTCCAGAAAGCCCCACCCCTTTTGGGTGGTGGGCTTTGGAGGGTGGGAGAAGAGGAAGGAAGGAGCAAGCCTTTACTTTAGGATGATTGATCAAGTGGTAACAATGTGTCTGTTGCAACAGTAGACAAAAAGAAAAAGGGAAAGAAAAAAGGAAGCCAAAAGGAAAGGGAAAGGGAAAAAAAAAAGAGCTATTCAAAGGAGGGGGAAAAAAGGGGGAAGGAAAAAAAAAAGAAGGAGGGGAAAGGAGGAATAATCAGAATAAAACCAG